CACCATCATTGGAGGAAAGATAGCCTATTTAATAAATGGTATTGGAAAATCTGGATTTCAACCTGCCAAAGATTGAAGCTAGACCCATACCTATCACCATGCACTAAACTAAGATTGAAGAGGATTAAAGATCTAAATATTAAGACAGAAACACTAAACTTGCTGGAAGATAAGTTTGGTAGAACTCTTGAAGACATTGGCATAGGAAAAGACTTCATGAACAAAACCTCAGCAGCATGGGAACTAGCAGAAAGAATCAACAGCTGGGATCTCATCTTATTAAAAAGTTTCTGCACTGCAAAAGAAACCACCAACAGAGCTAACAACCTACAATATGGGAAAAAAAATTTAGCAGCTGTACCTATTCCCCTTTTTCTTAATAGAAATAGATTATTTTCATGTAACTTTTTGCTCAGATTTACCCTGGCTCCTATCATATGTTTTCTAATTTGCAATCAAGTTTTTATTACTTTTTCAGAAATTCTAGTTTCCACTGCCATCTTTCCTTTCTTTCCAACCTATAGATTGGAGCTAATGGTATTCTTTAAACTCATATGAAATTCCTTTAAATGTAGGTTACTAAGCAAGCTGAAAGCAACTGCTTCTCCCCACCCTCAAGCCTTAGAAATTGCTAGGCCTAGCTGTCCAGACAAGAATACTTTGAGGATTAAGTGTGCTACACAGTTAGTACATGGTAGAACAAGCTATTATCACCTGGGCCATGTCTTCTTTTCTTGAAATATTTTTGCTTATTTTTAACTCGTAATTTATCTAGCTGAGTCTATCCATATGGTTTTATAAGCCACATAACATGTATTGAAAATATTAACAACATAGATTGATTTGAAAATAATCTATAAGCTAACTTATTTTATTATATTTTGGGTTATTGAATTTGATCAGGTACATCAACATAGCCAAAGAGAAAGACCACCAAAAAAGCATTTCTCTCTAAATCTTCACCAAGGATATTTTGAACTGTGCCTCTGTCTGTGTGTGTTTGTGTGTGTGTGTGTGTGTGTGTGCGTGTATTAGAGAGAGAAGCAGAGAAGATTTATGTGTACATGTATATATTTGCATATGTAAAAATTAAATTATAGGTAATATACAGGAAGACTAATTCATATTAGCTACAGGACTTAAGCTTACAAGAAATATTGCATGTTAAAATCTCCATAAAATATAGTAGTTTATTGTAATAAGTAGTTTTCCTAAGTAGGTATTTCTTA